ATTATGAATATAAAACACTTCTGTCTACTGAAAATGAGCTTGGAAACGGAAAATAAGTATATGAGTTTCAGGGTATCACATTTTCTGTTTTCACAGTAACAATAAATAAAATAAAATAAAATAATTATTTGGGTCATTTTAAGAATTTATTTAAAGCTATAATCAGAGTTTGAAAATCCTCAAGCTCACAGAGATTCAGACCACAGTTTTGAAACATTATTAGACTGAACATTTGCTCATTTAGCACCAAAGTTGTCCTTTGAGCATCCAGTTTGAGTGCATGGGTTAGGCACTGACTAAAAAGGGGTACAGATTGAAGTGGAGCAAGATTTTATGCAGGGACTCACATTTATTCAGGATAATGGCATGGGAAAATTCTGGAGTTGCTAAGATGCTCCTCCCAAAAGAAAAAAAACCAGAATATCCCTATAGGGCTGGTAATCTCACTTTCTGCTTATCCATGTTTCCTGCACCACCTCTAAACACACAGCGTACTGCTGCGCGGTGAGTACTCACGGACTTTTGGCTGCATCATAATGGAATTCACAATCTCCACCAAAGGTGGCACAGAGCAACTCTGTGTTCAGGGCACCCATGGCACCTGGAGCAGTGCTGGCTGCCACCATGCTCATGGCAGCAGTGGCTATTCTTATGCCTCACACATAAAGGTAATGCCTGGCGCTGCTGTTCCGGTTGCCCCCTCATTTTTTATAACAATCTCTGCCTCTTCCTTTGTGCAATTGAAATGTACCAATTCTGCTATTTGCAGACTGAAAAGTAGAGGACTAGGATTCACTTCGCAGGAACAAAACAGTGTAGTTACAGACTTTATTAAATATACAGTATTGCCAGTGCCAAGGCTTAGTTTAATCCAACCAAAATGTCTAACAGCTTGTGTTATTGCCTAGAAGCTTCCAGACAACTCCGATTCACAGTTATAAATCACACAGACCACAAGCCAATGAGAGCGAGCTACATTTCCTTCTGCAGAACAGTTTCTATACAGAAGCATGAAGTGATGGCAATTTCTTAAAAAAACAAATAGTTTTTCTTTATTCTCCCACAGAAATAGCAGCACTTCTGCTCTTTATTTAATCACTCCTTTTCTTGATTTTGAAAGCAAACACAGATATGTGACTGGGTTGTCCAAACTGGACATAGTCTCCAGTATGCGAAATCAGTGTTTTGTCCAGCTATAGAGCAAATAATTACTAAAGCAGGTCACTTGAACTCACACAGTACACAATGTACACAATACACTGTGTGGTATTTCTGATTTGTTTGTGGTAACACTTTGGTCATCAGCACTCCACGCTGCAGATAGACTGTCTTAAACTTAACAATAATAGCTGCACAAATGGCCTTGTTTCAAATTCTACATTAATCACTAAAGACTGATTCCTCCCTTGCATGGGAAAAAAAATCCAAGAAAAATGCCAAGAAATTAAAATTCAGTGGGGTTTTTTTTCCATTGAAGGGTCATGGTTTGAGCCTCACAATGCTGCAAGGTGGATGACCCTCCAAAACACAAGTTAGCCCAGTGTTCTTAGGGAAATACTTCAAATCTCAGACTATCCAAAGGGAAGTCTAGAGTCTCTTCTCTCAGGAACTATGTTCTTCATGGACTGACCATGCATGGCATCCCTTAAAAAGGTCACCTTTGTGTATACTGCTTTGAGTTTGGGAAGTGATGCTGCTTTGGAGAGTGGTTATTCTCTTCCTCTCAAATCAGAAAATGAGTCTTCTGCATTCTCAAGGCTGCTGAAGGCATGACGATAGGCTCAATTCCATTTCCTCTGAACACATTTTTTAGTGGAACAAATGAGGTGGATGACCTGACATTTACATACACTGGACATGTGTTTGCTGCAAAGCTAGTTCACTAACTAATCCACTGTTGTATATTATAGGTTATGGACTGTGCAATGCCTTTGATTGGTGAACATCAGGCTGAAGACAGGCAACATATAACTGAGCTGGTTGTAAGCAAAATGAACCAAACATTATCCAAAACACCTATACTTTCTCCTCAGAGACCCACTGCCACTCAACAGCCTCAGGTATGTAACTTCGCTTCTTTTTAATGCACAGTAAAATGCTCTGTATCAATTTGGGAACAATATTTCACTTGCTTTAAATAATTTAGCATGAGAAATTTTATACAGCTACAACTTCAAGGATTCAAAAACTTCCTAGCATGCAACTCCCAGCAAGAGGATTTATATGCCATAATCTATCCTGCACACAATTGTCATTTTTAGAAGTCATTGTTTCTGGGAAAACATAAGCATTGGGACTCATAGAAATGAAAGAGACACTGCAGTAGATATCACTTGCCTTGATGTGCCTAGACAAGCGGCCTTAAAAAAGTAGTTTTTTTCTGAGAACTGCTTTGTGTAAAGTTAATAATGTAATAATATCATTAAACTAATGGGCAAACTAGTAGGAGGGTGGGGGGGAATGCACTGGTTCAAAATTAAAATGCACCAGAACTGTTTACTGCATTTGGTAGAGCAGTTTCAGTAAGAGATTGTTTGGGTGAAAATGTTAACTTGCAGTGTTACCAGAAAGAAGCAATATTCCTCTTGTCATACATGTTCTAATGGCTTGAAGACAGGACTTTGAGTTCCAATCCTGACTTTACCTCAACTTCTCTTATGCTCTTGGACAAGTCACTTTGGCTAGCATTCTCTTTCCTTCCTGCTCATCTAAGTGACCAGATTTGGTCATCCGCATGGCATTTTTGGACATCTAAGTGTCAAAAATGCCAGTTATGCCCAGTTAGGAATGCTATTCCTGGCCACAAAGCCTGGGCAAGTATGTGGATAAGGAGGCAGACAATGAGCACCTTCCTGTCTTTTGCCCATTAGCCAGGTGGCTAGAGAGCTTGTCCAGGATGTTGAAGAGCCTATTGTAATCCCCCATCTTTCCCCAGAATGGTATTTAAACTTGTATCTCTCTGACATCCCAGCATAACATGCTAACTGCTTTGCCACAGATATCCATTACCCAGTGTATTCTCCAGCTCTCCTTTTAAACTTACCCCTCTCCAGGTAGCCATAAGAGGGAGGCATGTGGGAGATATGTGAGGTTAGAAAGAAAAAGAAGCCAGAGGTTATGTGGCTCAGTGAAGTGGCTGCTGTCAGGGAAGGGAGGGATCTCTCAGTTCTAGTGTGGACCCTTATGTCCAATGGGGCAGAACTTTCTCAACTGCTCTCTATCCACGTTATCCAATGACTATACTGAATGCAAGGGACAGTAGATCCATTTCAAAAGAAGCTGGGTTTTTGGTTGTAGCTGTGTTGGTCAAAGGACATAGGCAGGCAAGGTTCTTTGAGTAGATGTGATATGTTTTATTAGACCAACTAACTAGTTGACAAAAATTTCTTGGAAAGCTTTCAGGAAGAGTCACCCTTCATTAGGCATGGGGAGCCACTATAACTGCACCCCACAACAGAACCATCACCATTGCTGGATCTTACAGTGGAACCTCCAGAAATGTTATATAGCTCATCCCATGCACCAAATGCCCTATGGGAAAATATGTTGGAGAAACCAAACAACAACTGCACACCAGAATGAATGCACACTAAAAATCTATCAAAGACAAGAATACCCAACTACCTGTGGGTGCACACTTCTCACAGGACAATCACTTCCTCTCTGATCTCTCAGTTCTAATCCGCAAAGGGAATTTACAAAACATCTTCTATAGATGAGCCTACAAACTTCACTTCATAAATCTACTGGATACAAAAAATATAGACTCAATATAGATATTGGTTTTATGACACATTACAACCTGCCTCACATCTGATTCACCAGGTACCTGCGTGACAGCCTCTTTTCTACCTTGTACTTTATCACTGTTCTGTCTCCCTGCTCTCTTCCCCCTCCCCCCTCTGCTTCACCTCTCTGCCTGACCTTTTCTCTTATTAATTCTACCTACTTACATGTTCACTGACATTCTGCCACACTTTTAGCTTTTTTCATTCCTTGGAGTCTCAGAACAGTAGAGGCTCCCTATGCCTGAAGAAGGGTGACTGTGCCCAAAAGCTTGTCAAGAATTGTTTCCCAACTTTTATTATTAGCTGGTCTAATAAAATATATCACATCTACTCCAAGAACCTTGCCTTTCAAAAGGAGTGGCAGAGAAGGCACTGAGAAATGCCTTCCCTATTGTGTGGTGGTTATAGTGCCATACTGGGGAGTCAGAAAGAGCCAAAGATACCTCATCTTGGGTGAGGGGAAGCCTATAATCCCAAAGATGAGAAGGCTGTTATTCCAAAGTATTGGTTGACTACATTTTTGGGCCTTGGATGCCAAGAGGGGTCCACACGGGATGTGCATACTCTCTACAAAATGAGATGTTATTTATTTCATCCTTGCCACACTCCCAAGGATTAATTCCTATTCGCACCATGTTTTGAAAATGTAAAGTGCCATATAAATGCTAAATATTTTTCCTTCTGGAGTTCACAGGACAGTCAATGGGATTGATCCCAACATCTGTTGAGCAACTGTAGCTTCTATAGATTTCAGTTAATAGACTGAAGTACCCAGTAGTACTCAGATTCAGTCCTAAAAAAGCAATTGAAAACTAAATTGTCTAGCTGTACCCAGAGGGTCAGTATTGGTCATCTAAGCAGCAAGCCCATATTGCAGGGTAGGACTTCCCAAACCTACATCAAAAGTCTATTTTTATTCTGAATAGGCCTGAACCCAGGTAAACAGTTTGAAAACAAGTCTGTGGCACACCTCAAGCAGCCCATCTCTTGATGGAGTGGGACTAATTTGCTTTTCAAATGTACCATCATACTTTAAGTTACAAAAAACACTATCCCACATAAAGAAGTGGTATGGCTTCTATTTATATTATAGCCACTTGAGACCAAATACAAAATTGTTTCAACCACATAACCACACACAATGAAGAAGTTTCCATCCACGTTGACAAAGTCTATTGTAAAGGGCACCAAAAAAGAACAACACAGAAAAAAAAAGTCTTTACTTTGAAAACACATTTCCTCAGGACCAGTAAGCTTCTAGCTCTATGCTAAAATGTGGCAAATTCTAATTAAAAAGAGGTGTCAAAGCACCAAAACAAGATGCAACATAAATCAGAAAGTTTTATAAGATAGATGGATTGAATAAAAAGTGTTTTCAGATTAGTTGGCATTTTTTTTCCTCAAGAAAATCATAGGTACTGGTTAGACACCATGCATTAAATTTCAGAGGTATTTGTGCATGCAATTGCTGCCTCTACACAAGTAAATTGGCTGTACTTTATACACAAAGTGGGTATTTTCCTATTTACACACTCAAAACTAAAAGTGCAGTCCATCAGCTTACTATTATAGAAATCTTTAAAATATTTCTTTAGTAACTGATGCAATTCATGTGGTGTGCATGAAAAGATATCTAGTTTTTAAGAGTGAATCTTTGGATGGGATGATAGAGTAGGAGATTTTGTTAAAGAAATAGCATTCAGTTGTAATAACTGATCTTCCATTCATTTTCTGCTACTGTACTTTAGACCTCTGATAGACATTAAATTAAAGGGGGCACCATCAGCAGATCACCAGCTACAGGAGTCTAGTGGAGCCTTGAAGGGCTGGGAGCGCAGATCATCTGGTTGGTACTGGCCACTTGTTTAATTTAAGGCATGACGGGATCCAGCCACAAAGTTGTTACACATATTCTGTGTAATAATTTTATAGCTTATTTCCTGTTTTATCATATCATTAACTAAATGAACATGTGACAAGGTTACTAGTCAAGATATGATTAACCAGTTACTGCAGATTAATCAGTTAAGCACATCTGTAATTTTTGCCATGGGCCTTAGGAGCAGCTATTGGCAAGTGTAGGTTACTGAAGAGTTCAGCCAGAGTTCAGGTTATTTTTTTGAAACCTGCAAAGGGATAATATTTAAAATAAACCTCTCTTTTTCCATATCCTGTCAAAACTCCTGAGTTAACAGTTGACAAATGCTTTGATGCAACCAAATCCAAACTCCCTTTAAAAAGAAAAGAGAGAAATGGAGTGGTTTTCCTTTTCTGTTATGTATGGTAACTTCAAAGTTGCTTGCAGGTTTGCCTCTTAATTAGTCAGGTTTTGCTTTCTTAATATTTATGTCATAACCTTACCAGTTTTCAAGACAAACAAGTTTTGAGTTTCTAGATTAAAAAACATCAGGAAAAATAAAACTTTTTAAAAGTCCAAAACTTCAGGTTTTTTAAGCATATCTTTAACCAAAAAAGAGTGCAAGCCAGTTTTCTCCACTGTGCAGGTCAGCTTTAAACATCTGATCTTATAAAGCTAATCAGATCAATCAGGTAAGCATCGCTTATCCTACCTTCAGTTGGACAGTTTGCTTATTTTCTAATTTGTTCCTTGGTTCTCTTGAGAAATACAGGCCATTCAGAGGGCCTGAGGGAAAAAAAACCTCTTTCGTGGTCATTGTGAAATAGCATGTAGTCAGTAATTTATTCCAGCTAAAGTGTGTGAATATATGTGTGGTCCGCAAGATTCCAAAATAGATAGCTTTAGTATTATAAACAGCAAAGAAAGAGTCATGTCTATATTTGGCTACTTATTCCACTTTTAAATGAACAGCTTAGTGGAGTCAGTGGTGCAACTATAGACATGCTGAGTTTTGAATTACAGTACTATCTGTGTTTTTGTTTTAATTATTTATAGTGTGCCCACTACTGCGCCATCTGGGTGCATCATACATAAAAGAAAACTTCAATTTTTAAGTGCCCACAATGGTCAGCATCACTAACCCTTTCCCAAATAACCACCCACCCACCAGGAAACAAATTGAAAATTAGAAAAAGAAGCCTTTGTTTAGAGCCACAATAGCCAAGTCTTTCGCTAAAATGATGCCTGAAGGATAACATGCTCATGCATAGTTGGACTGCCAGAGGAGTGAATTCCAAAGTCAAGGACCTTCCAACACCAGTGTCCTGCCTGGGGTCCTCATGGTGCAGAATTGGGGAGTATCAGCAAAATCTTCAGCTAATATGAGCCATTAAGATAACATGCAGCAGATAAA